AAAAATATGAATATTATATCTTATGATGATGTAATTATGATGCTATAATATTATTTTCAAATATATGAAAAATATCCAGAAGTATTAAAATATTATTTACAGAAGAAACTCAATAGYATTCCAAAATATTCAATTAGAAAATAATTTTTTATTTCATACTCTACGTTTGAGATTTTAAAACGAAAATTATTTTAGGTGTCCGATAAAGATACTCTTACTATTGATATATCTTCAATACGTAAATGTTTATAAAAGTTTCATATCCAACAGTAAACAACCGTAATCGGGTTGAATATATAATATATTACACAACATTTTTTTTTAAATTTAGATTAGTATAGATTATAGTTTATATTCGAATATAATATCAACTTTGATTTTTTATCGTTTGTCTACTTGTACAGTTAACATTCAGTCTTGAGTTACTCTTATTTGTATAAACCGTATTTTTTAACTTATCAGTTCATTCATCGTTGTGTTTATCCTTTCAATTTTAAGTAAATAAGTGACCGTACACTATCTTTTTTTTATACAAATTGATCAAAAGTCGTTTGAGGGCGTTGAAGATAAATATAGTGATATGGAGCATGTCGGTAAGATTGAGTGTTTGTAAAATGAAGTATAAAATAGCAGTGGATTCACGAGCAAAGGAAATATGTGTTGACAGAAAATACAAGACATCTTATTAAACTTTAGGTATATTACTATTATAATACAATTTACGAGTACCTATTTATAGTGCATGCGAATTAGATATCTTCAAAATAATAAAATCGTTAATCGTGCACTCACGGTCCATATTCGCGTAATGGATTCCTCTGTTTAGAGATATGAGTGCATTATCGTTATTCCAAAATGGTATAATGATAACTTTGTTTGTACATGGAAACGAGATAAAGTATCATATGCATTGTGATACAAATGATAAAACTTCAACTGTGATTTGTTTTGACAGGTGCTGTTACTATTTGCCGGTACTGTTGACAGCTGGTTTGATTTTAACTGAAAAAAAAGAGGGAATGATGGAAAGGATGATGGTTTCTGGTGAGTATACTTATATAATATAGGTATATATATTTATATTACATATTCAATATGCGAATATAATATTTTTTGCCCGTATATTTCCCAACGGGTCCAGCGTGGTTACGCATGTCGATATTGGGAAACATCCAATTATAATCCCAAATTGTAAACATGCTCTTTTGCTGGTAAACAATATAAATAATAAATAGTGAATTTGGGATGGACCATAAAAAAATACCTGGAACGAAAATCAAATAAACTAGATAATTACTGTCCGTTTGTCACCACGCCTTAGTTTCGTATTATAATGATTTTTAAACCATTAAAATATAATTGGTCGTGTTTATTGCAGGTATTAAATTCAGTGAAGTGTTAGTGTCTACAGTCATAATGCAAATGATAATACACGTTATACAAACGGCCATATCCATGTATGTGATGTACATATACTTTGACAATCCTTATGTAGGAGATCATTTTCCCACAATTCTCATACTCATACTTCTAGGAGTGGAAGGAATGATTTTTGGTAAGTCGACAAATTAATTACCGAAAACTATAAACAGCTATATTTATTATTATAGTCAATCAATTGAAATGTACTGTATTAACACGTATGCATAATTAAAATTAAATATGTTTTTATAATTATTAATTACCYACTTAATATTTAAATAGTGTTAAAAAATAAAATGTAATTAATTTAAGCAACTTATCATATAGTCATAACAATTATTGACTGTAAAAATGTTTATTGAATTCTACAGGTTTCTTAATCGGTGCTTTATGCAAAGATTTCATATTTGCCACGTACATAGGCACTGGCAGTAACCTAATGATGTCGTTCACTTGTGGTAAGCTCTTTTAATAATTTTAATTAACWCATTAATATCTGAATTTTTATGGTGGACAATTTTAAAACTCTATCACACTAAGGAAATTCGGGCTTACTTACTTAATAAATAATTTTGTTTTAATTAAAAATATTAATATGTTGTCTTTTTTTGTAAAACAGGATTGATATGGCCTTTAGAAGGTGCACACTATTTACTGAAATTCACTGGTCCTCTGTTTCCAATGACTGCACCGGTCAAAGCATTGCTGGCAATAACCGCTAAGGGCTGGTCTTTCGATTCTGAGCCTGTCTACATGGGACTAATATCCATATTTGCGTGGTCAAGTATTATGATCATAGCCATATTCATTACTAGCAGATTAAACAAAGATCTGTGGATCTTGAGAAAATAGGGTGAAGATACGAATTGGTTATATTTTGTRTAATTCATGGAGCGTATTTTTTGTCATAATAATTGTATACAGACGGACATCGGGTAGTTTATTCGAGTCCGATTTTGTACTTAAAATTGACCGTAATGCAGTATGAATTATTTATTTTTAATTTTGATAGCAAAGCAAGCGAACTAATTTCGGTCATTCTATACATTGAACCCTATATGCCTAACTATTTAATACCGTATAGYATATATGGTCTATAATATATATATACATCAGCCATATAAATATGACCGATAATAAAGATATGTTSTATAATAATCGTAAACTGTAATGGTTTACTCACACATTTGTGATTGGTAACAAAACTACGTGAAAATAATGGACAATCTAAGTAAATTGTAAATTATTTAACTKTGAAGTATTGAAAATATTTAGGTGACTTGCTTTTTTAAATATTTATTATTGTTAATATTCTTGTATTTATTTCCTTTATAAAATAWATAGGTGTAATTTATTGATTTCATAATATCGTTTAAATAAACTTTATTGTGTTTGTTTTTAGTACTTAAAATGTTAATTTATACTTAAATAACCAAACCAACAAGATAATTACCTATAAGAACTTATTTCTACATGATGTACAAAAACAAATATGGTGAGTCCATGATGTAAGTTTCTATAGAAATACTTGCAATAGATATAATATATTATATACTATTAACATTTTGACACAATCGTTATGTTATGTGCTTTATAAACTTACAAACTTATAGTGTTTGTGTCATTTATAGGCCAAATCTATAAAAGAGCACTCATAACTTTGCGCATTCGTTGTATTGGTTTCCATACTTTAAAAGTATTTACTTAGTATACTGTAGTTCCCTCCAGTTCTTTCGTACATAAGTGATTTTAGAGGTTTCAACACTTCTTCAGAACTTTCCAACTCGTATTCTACAATGGGGTCTATGAAAAATTAAAATATCTTTGACATATTAAACCAATAGATAATTCGATTTCCGTTATAAATAAAATGTGATTTTCGTTCATAATTTTATAAAATTTTTGAACATTAATTTATTATTGCGTACATTTAATAACTTGGATATGACAATGATTTTACCGAAAATAAATTCTAGAATACTGCTATTATTGACGTATAAAAAATAGTGTTGAATAGTTCTTTTTTTGTCACTTTTTTCATAAAATATCAATTTTCAGAGAGTAAAATACAGTAATACAAAACATTGTGGTATTTTACTATAGTGATATAATAGCCATAATATATATATATTTAAGTGGCGGAAATTTAGGCTAGATAAAAAAATGAACATTTTAAATGTTTATAAATAGTTCAAAAAAAGCAAAAATAGTTTGAAATATATTATCAATTATCATCTAATGGAAGTCAGAGGAGAAGTAATGCTAACGCGGTTCCTTCTCTTGCTCTCGATATAAAAGAAAAAAAATTTATTATTATCCACAAATACGTCTTTCTTCTGCTATATGTATCAATAAAAATTATATTTTTCAATTTATTATTGCAAAAAATATTGAATAATATTCAATATAATGCAAATATACGTACAAAWTATACTGATCATATCTTTCTAAAATACTAAGGACCTTATTTACATTGACCTTTAAAACAACTAGTATAATAATTGTTAATAAATATTTTTCAGTTATGTAAATAGTTAAATCATTCATAGTTTTTGTTTTTAAAGAAAAG